GCAGCAGATGCACATCTTTGACGAGATGACCGACAACTGCCGCATCATCGAGGCGCTCAACCCGGCCGAGACCAAGACGATCCGGTATGTGCAGGCCAAGCCGGTGTTTCCGACGACGGCGCGCGACTTTCTCGTCGTCACGAGCGAGCAGCGCCTCGAGGACGGCTCCATCGTCATTGGCACCAAGAGCGTCGAGCACGACAGCGTGCCGGTCAGCAAGCACTTTGTGCGCGCGCACACGCACGTGTCGGGGTACATTGTTCGTCCGCTGACGCCGACGTCGTGCTCGGTGACACTGATTGTGCACATGGACCTCGGCGGCTACATGCCGGCGTACGTGATCAACCTCTTGTCGGTGGCGTCGCCGATCCAGTTGCTGAAGCGGTTCCGTGTTCTGTACGGTCGCGCGTAACTCTTGAATCGTTAATTTATTTACTTGTACAATCCACGCGATTACTATTGTCATGCGATGAGAGAAGCGTTCGTCGATAGATCGCTTGGAGTGCACTATGTGGCGTTCGACCTTGAAGAGATCACCAACGTCATAACATGAAGGAACTTGCTTCCGGGAGAACGCAGTGGACGACAAGAATGATTTCAATGTTCCGCGTCTGCTCAAGATTAAGCAGCTTGGAAGAACGAAGTCACGCAGCACGCCGCCATGGCCACAAACTGGTTGCTACTGGTAAGCGCCACGAACACCACGGCGCCGCATTAAGTGTTGTGGTACGTGGCGCGTGAAAACTAGCACGGAACGAGCTGGATTGCTCCTTTTTTATCTTGATGGTACCGATGGCATCGTCAATTATAAAGAGAAGAAAGGGACAGCACCTACGGGACTTGAAACCCGCACCTCCTGCACGAGAAGAAGCGCGAATCCACCGACTTGACAAAAGGTGGTCGACTACCGGTACTGCTGTCTGCATTCTTGACACCAAATAGCGCGCGAAAATCGTGCAAGTGCAATGGACGGGAGCAATCCATCGCAGGCTTGTCCAGCGCCTCTCGCCAACAATGGGCGCAGGCGAGTGCCATAGAAGTCGCCCCAACTCTGAGTCATCCAATTGGAAGCCAGCGCATCTTTACACCATCGCCTGTGGTGTCTTTCTTATTCTTATTGGTCTCACTTATGGCCGTGGCGTGTATCATTAAACTGTCTTGTTCGATGTGCTAATACTGTACACATCGTCCAGGCAAATAATAATGCCCACGTGTCTGCCGGGCGTCCAGTGCGATGTGGCGCCTGAGACGTGGGGCGCCAAAGTGCCCTTTGGCCCTTGCATTTCGGATAATTTCTGAATACGTCCGGATACCGATCTTGGGTCCTGTTTGGTCCGAGGTCGTATTTAATCCATTCTGGCACAATAGCTTGCATTGTGTATGGCACATTAAATATCGCATTTTATACGCATCGCCCAGCTGGTCGTGCAACGAGTTGCAGAAAGGACGACTTCCATCGTCATTTCCCAAGTCGTCGTCATGTGCGTCCAAGAGCCCAAGCAGGCGCGCGAGTTTGCGCGCCTCCCAACGTCCGTCCAGCCCATCAAGGTATCTCCGCCATCTGCAATAGTCTGACACACGGACCGCTGTCTTTAGTACACGCTCGACTATGACGTGATTGATTTGGACGGCTTTCGCTTTGAGGGTTCCGAGTCGATTGCCATCGCGATCACCGAAGACACCAAGAGCATCACGTGCCACGCCGTCGAGCTCTGGGTCCATGACGTCAGCGTCACGCTCGCGTCGGGCGCGTCGATCGCTTGCGATGAGATCCGGTACACCAAATTTGACGAGTCGGTCACGTTTGAGTTTCCGACGACGCTGGCCGCGGGCTCGCATGCGACGCTCCACTTGCGCTTCCACGGTATCCTCAACGACAAGCTCAAGGGCTTTTACCGCAGTGAGTACACGCAGAACGGCGAGCGCCGCGTCATGGCCGTGACGCAGTTTGAAGCGTGCGACGCGCGCCGCGCGTTCGTGTGCTGGGACGAGCCTGCGATCAAGGCCAAGTTTCAGATTTCCATGGTGACGCCGATCGACCGCGAAGCGATCTCCAACACGCACGTGCTCTCGACGCTTGTGCGCCCCGTCAAGGCCGCGCACTTGACCAAGAACGCGGGCGTCTTTGAGAAAAAGTGGACCTTTGCCGAGACGCCCGTCATGTCGACGTACCTCGTGGGCATGGTCGTCGGCGAGTTCGACTACGTCTCGGGCTATACGGCCGAAGGCGTTCTGGTTCGCGTCTACACGCCGGTCGGGCGCAGCGAGCGCGGTCGGTTCGCGCTGGACGTCGCGACCAAGTGCCTTTCGTTTTTCACGCAAAAGTTTGGCATCCCGTACCCGCTCACGAAGCTCGACATGCTCGCGATCCCCGACTTTAACGCGGGTGCGATGGAGAACTGGGGCGTCGTGACCTACCGCGAGATGCGTCTCCTCATTGACGAGAACGGGTCGTCGATTGCGCAAAAGACCGCGACCGCGCGGACCGTCTGCCACGAGCTCGCGCACCAATGGTACGTCTTTTTCATTTTTTCATTTTTTTCCTTTTCGTCCATTTTTTTCATTTTCTCCATTTTTTCCATTTTTGGATGGACAAGTTGACCATCGTTTGACAATGATTAGGTTTGGCAACCTCGTGACGATGGAGTGGTGGACGAGCCTCTGGCTCAACGAAGGGTTCGCGCGCTTCATGGAGTTTGACGCGGTCGACCACATCTTTCCCGAGTGGAACATGTGGACCAGTTTTGTCCAAGACATCACGATGGGCCTCGCGATGACCAAGGACGCGATGCTGAGCTCGCACCCGATCGAGGTCGAAGTGCACCACCCGGACGAAGTGAACGAGATTTTCGACACGATCTCGTACGCCAAGGGCGCCAGCGTCATCCGCATGCTCGCCAACGTGGTCGGCCTCGACCAGTTTTATGCTGGCGTGCACAACTACCTGCTCCAGCACAGCTACGCCAACGCGCGCACGGAGGACCTCTGGGACGCGTTCGAAGCCGCATCCGGCATGGAGATCACGGCCATGGCCAACACGTGGACCAAGCAGACGGGCTTCCCCGTGCTCTCAATCACCGAGACGGACGAGGCGACGCTCGAGCTCTCGCAGACGCGGTTTCTCGCGTTTGGCGACGACAACGAAGGCAGCCGCTGGGACGTGCCGCTCACGCTCGCGACGCCGGCCGAGACGACGTCGACGACGATCTGGACGCACGACAACGAGACGTTCTCGTTGCCCAAGCCGTCGGACGCGCCGTGGTACAAGCTCAACGCGCAGCAGACCGGCTTCTACCTTGTCAACTACCCCGACTCGGCCTGGCACGCGCTCAAGGAGCCGGTGCGCAGCCTCGAGCTCGGTGTCGTCGACCGCGTGTCCTTGCTTTCGAGTGTCTTTATGCTGGCCCGCGCCGGCGTGTTGAGCTGCGCCGACGCGCTCGCGTTCTCGGAAGCGTTTGCGGCCGAGCCCGAGTACCTCTGCTGGAAGGAGCTCTCGGAGAACCTCCAGGCGTACACGTCGCTCTTCCACGACGACGAGGCGTGCGCGCCGGCGCTTCGCACCTATGTCCAGGGCCTTTACGCCAACGTCTTTGCGTCGCTCACGTGGGACAAGCTCGAGACGGACGTCGAGATGACGAGCAACTTTCGCCGCATCGTGCTCGCCATGCTTGGTGGCGCCCGCGACCCGGACGTCCTCGCCGAGGCCTCGCGCCGCTTCCACGCCGGAAACCTCTCGGCCGACTTGCGCTCGGTGGTCTACTCGCTCCATGCGCGCCAGGCGAGCGCGCCGTCCGAGGCCAAGGCGGTCTTTGAGTACTTTTCCAGCACGTACTTGACGAGCGATTTCATCGAAGAGCAGCTCGACTGCCTCTCCAACATTGGCAAGATCCCGGGCCTCAAGCTGCAGACGCTGCAGTGGGGCGTCGAGAACGTGCGCGCGCAGGACATCCAGTACATCTTTAGCAGCGTCGCCAGCGACATGGCCGGCGCCGACCTCGCGTGGACGTACGTGCAGGAGCACTGGGCGGCGCTCAACGCAAAGTTTGCGCCGATCCAGGTCGGCCGCATCCTCACGTCGGCGATCACGCGCTTCCAGAGCGACGACCGCGCGCTCGAGGTCGAGGCCTTCTTGGCCACGCGCCAGCACCCCGCGTACGCGCGTGTGGTGGACGCGACCCTCGAACGCATCCGCACCCGCGCTGCCATGTACGCTCGCGACCAAGACAGCATGCGCAGTTGGCTCGCGACGCTTGCCGAGTAAAAGTTTTTTGAATGTGGAGATTCTTCCGTTGGTATCGTTGTTGTCTCGTATGCTCTTGTCTCGAGCCCCTCCGTACGTGGCACGCATGCAGTGCTGTGGTATGCGAGGCTCGCGACAGATGGCTTGTCTCCATCATGACCTTGCGGCATAACGCGCGATCGTGATCCTGCTCGGCACCAATGGGCACGCTGCAATCGGTGCATCCCGACAGCAAGGCCGCTACTGTACCTTGGCAGCAGACAACGCCGAGCTCGGCTCGCACGGCTCGACGATCAGTGCAGTAGCAATTGGATAGTAAAGGTTGTATCGTCTTTTGTTGATCAAAGCCAGAGTCATCGCAACATTGTTGAAGCTTGACGACTTTTGTTTGCGGCGCCATGGACGTCTACCGTGCAGTTGAAGCAGTCGTTGGCGCAGTTGAAGGCGTACTACTGCGTCTACTCCAGCGTTCTATATAAGAACTGATAGCCTCCAAGTAAAACCCCGATGTGTGTCTGCGCCGTGTATCCAAGCGCAAGCTGCGTGTGGCGGTGTGCCCAGGTTTGGATTCGAAGACGCGTGACATCACCGAGAGCCATAGGAATCACCTTCTGGTCCTCAAGTGTCGACACCTGCCACCTCGCTGTTTGTGCAATGCCAGCTCGACCTTGTCAAGATCCAGGTTCGAACCAATGTTTGATTTGCCAATCACTTCAACGTCGCGCTGATTGGTCGAATTTTAATGCTGAAACCGCAGAAAAATCTTGTCGTGACCCTCCAGTAAAGGCCATGCCCGCCTCGTCCAACGTGCCCTTGCGGCTCTGTGCTGTCTCGGACGGCTATCTCGCGCCGTATAAACCTGCCTACCTCGTCGCTCTCGGCGGCACTGCACTGAGCCAACGGGACGACGTATTCGAGTCCATGGCGTGGCAGTGGTCCCAACTTCAACATCCGCTGGTGACCGCCAGGTGGTCACCCGATTGCGCATTCAACAGCGGTGTTCTTGTGGTGGCTTTTACCGCGCTAGGGTAAACGCGCGCTGGGATCGGTTTCACCTGGTTTACAAAGCGAGCGACTCGATTTAGCGCGACGATTGAGCAATCGCCGGCCGAGACGGTTCGATTTCCGTAGTTTCCAATTTCCTTTGCTTTGCGCAGCAATATGCTCCGACGCGCCGCTGCTCTCCGACGCGCCTGCCACCCTCGCCGCTCGTACGCGACCATGACCCGGGGCATTGGCCACCTCCGGCCAGCCCCGACGGCGATCGCCGAGCTCACGCCCGCCAAAGCTGCGATCGCTGCCGCACCCAAGCCCGAGCTCACGGACGAGTACATTGGCAAGACGGGCGCCGCGATCTTTCACTCGACGCTCGCCGAGCTCGGGGTGGACACCATCTTTGGGTACCCTGGCGGTGCGATTCTGCCTGTCTTCGACGAGATCCACGAGTCGCCCCACTTTGACTTTGTCTTGTGCCGCCACGAACAAGGCGCGGGCCACATGGCGCAGGGCTACGCCCGCGCGACGGGCAAGCCCGGCGTCGTGCTCGTCACGTCGGGGCCTGGCGCGACCAACACGGTGACGCCGCTCCAAGATGCGCTCATGGACGGCACGCCGATGATCGTTTTCTCGGGCCAAGTCGCGACGCCGGTGCTCGGCAGCGACGCCTTCCAGGAGGCCGACATCATGGGTATCACACGCCCATGCACCAAGTGGAACGTGCAAGTGCGCAACATCAAGGACCTCGCGCGCCATCTCCGCGAAGCCTACCACATCGCGACGACCGGCCGCCCGGGGCCCGTGCTCGTAGACCTCCCAAAGGACATCACGGCCGGCATCTGCAAGACGGCCGTGTCCAAGACGCCGCAGCTCATTGGCTACTATGGCGAAAACAAGGTCGACGGCAACCGCGTCGACCAGTCCGAGAACCTCCAAGCCGCGGCGGCGCTCATCAACAAGGCGAAGAAGCCCGTCATTTACGCCGGCCAAGGCACGATCCACTGCAGCGAGGCGCTGCGATCGCTGGCCAAGGAGTTCAAGCTCCCGGTCACGACGTCGCTCCAAGGCATGGGCGCGTTTGACGAGACGGACCCGCTGAGTTTGCACATGCTCGGTATGCACGGGTCCGCCTACGCCAACTATGCGATCCAAGAAGCCGACTGCATCATTGCGATCGGCGCGCGCTTCGACGACCGCGTCACCGGCCGCGTGCCCGACTTTGCCCCCGAGGCTCGCCGCGCCGCGCGTGATGGCCGCGGCGGCATCATCCATTTTGACATTTCGGGCAAGCAGGTCGGCAAGATCGTGCCGGCCACGGTCGGTGTCATTGGCGATGCGAAATACAACATTGAGCAGCTCTTGCCGCTGCTGGTGCGCGACGAACGCCATGAATGGCACGAAAAGATCAGCGGCTGGAAGAAGGCACATCCGTTCCGGTACCGCGCGGCCGCGCCGGGCATGCCCATGAAGCCGCAGCGCGTCATTGAAGAGCTGTACACGCAGACGAAAACGAACGACAAGGTCATCATCTCGACCGGGGTCGGGCAGCACCAGATGTGGGCGGCCCAGTTTTACCGGTGGCGCAACCCGCGGTCGTTCCTTACGTCGGGCGGCCTCGGCACGATGGGCTACGGGCTCCCGGCCGCGATTGGCGCCAAAATGGCCAAGCCCGACCACATGGTCATCGACATTGACGGCGACGCGTCGTTCGCGATGACGCTGACAGAAATGGCGACCGCCGCCGAGTTCAACGTCGGCGTCAAGGTGCTTCTTCTGAACAACAACTTTCAGGGCATGGTCAAGCAGTGGCAGGACCTCTTTTACGAGAAGCGCTACTCGGGCACGGTCATGAAGAACCCGGACTTTGTCAAGTTTGCCGAAAGCATGCACTGCAAAGCGATCCGCTGCACGGACGAAGCCGACCTCCCGCGCGCGATGGCCGAGTTCCTGGCCGCCGACGGCCCGATCCTCGGCGAGTTCGTCGTCGAGAAGGACGAGCACTGCTACCCGATGGTCGGTGCCGGCCGCGCCCTCGACGAGATGATCTTTGGTGACTTTGACGACTGCCCCGGCACGACGTCGCAGTAAGCAAGCAACTCACATTGTAGACTCTCCACCGTACTGACTAACTTATACATGTTGCTAATAAATGATGCATGACAACTTGTGTGCACAACCTGTCATGGAACGTCGAGGACGTGGGGTGTCAACAACGGTAATACATACTTCAAGCCACGCTTCGAGTCTCCGTGCTAAGGCCGGACTCGAGTACGCTGCGGCGGAGAGCTACTGGTCTCGGTATGCAGGCCGTCTACCGTGCAGTTGACAGTGTGTGCATCAATTAGAACCGACCGACGACGCGCTTGGATCATGATGGCCGCCGCAGACACAATATTTAAAAAGCAATATATAATACTTTAAAATTGCTTGGTATTTAAAAACGAAATTGACGTTTTCGGGTGAGGATCGCATGTTGAAGACAGTGGACGCCGGCGCACGTTGTACGCTCTCAGCCACGTGCGCCTGCTTTACGCCGAGGTCCATTTTTATCGTCCCGTCTTGTCTTTGGCTGCACGAGGCACAGACACAGTGGCACGACAGAGTCCTCGCGCCCGTGTCTGATTTCGTTATGCAGTTGAAGCGCAACTCGGAGGCGGTTGTAAATTAATAATTAAAAATAGAGATCGAAGGGCGGCTCAGCCGTGGTGGGCAGGCGCTTGCTCGTCGCCCGAGATCGTGTCCATGAGCTTGTTGGCTTTGACGAGCTTCATGACGCTCTCACAGCCACCAATGTGCTTGCCGTTGATAAATACGTTGGGGATCGTGCACTGCTGGGTCATGTCCCGGAGCGCGTCCTGGATGTGGGCGCCTTCGTCGAGGTCGTCGAGCTCGATCGTGAGCGACTGAATGTCCATGTCCTCAAAGAGTTCCTTCACGCGCTCCGAGAACTGGCAGTACGACTTGGAGAAGAGCACGACTTGGCTTGCGCCAATCAGTTCCTATTGCCTCGTGAGTGGATGCTGCGAGGATAGCAGTCTTCTGTACCTTGACGGCCGACTTGGTCACGTCCGAGGACGAGGCCTCCATGTGCATGCGGCGGCAGGCGGCGGCGACGACCTTGCGCGAGAGGGCGATCGAGTGCATCATCGAGTATGTGGTCGACGGCGGATAGGATTGTGTGACGAACGACGGGACCATGGCACCCAGCCAGAGATGATTGGCGAACAAAGTGGGAGATTCGCATGTATTTTATTACAGCTTCCCACGCATCCTTTTTTTAAATTACATGCTGCGACAGGCCCGCGAACATCGCCATCGAAGCTTTTTTTATTGGATTGGATTCCATTCGAAACAAGGAAGTATTTAAATCCACTGCGTGACGTGGCAGTGCCGGGAGAGTCGCCGCCTTGTCGTCGTCGGGAGAGACGCATTTGCACGCGTGGATCGATGCGGAATTCCAGATCCAATTCCGTGCGCGCGTTGGTCGACCGACACGGTGTTCGGTCCGAACTGGATGTCGGATAGGAAGAATTCTAGGGTCCTGCGCCACGTCCGCTTCGCAGGCTTGTCGTCAAGGCAAGCAAGAAGAACGTCGGCGACGTCCCATGGCGACATGCTCGAAGCGAGCGCCGAGGAAGAGAAGTAGTATAGACGACGGTTTTCTGATCTGCACGTTGCAGTAGCCCACAACGGTTGTCAAGTGTCGCTTGCATGTGCTATTACAAGTACCCTGCACGCTCCCACGCGTTGTTTGCAGGAAGGGCGACGACGATCTCTCGATGAAGTTGACATCGCTCAAGAGAAGTGGACATCGAGTTGGAGCCTCAGAAATTATTACCCACATGAAGCGGCGTATGGAACGCACACGACGTCGCCGCCGGCCAAGGTGATTGGCAACGAAGCAACGAACGATCCGCCTCTCCACCTCTGCAGGGTATTCTTATTGCGCATTGAAAAATGGTGACGTATACGCTTCGGAGGCACGGTGCAGTATCGTCATCGAAGGAAGATCATGTACGCTCGCACACGGCCAGAAGCCAATTTTGGGAATTTTGGTGGTGTTCTGGTGGCATTGGGTATTTCTCTTTTACGGAGAATAGTGTTGTAGTAATACTATATCATGTCGTTTTGTATCTTGGCGAAAGGGTGCACTCGATACTGTTGCCTCGATCGATGGGACCTACGGAGAGCGACAACCAGGTCGCGGTACCAGTGCTCAAGGACGAAGACGTCGTCGCCGTCGGCTCGATTTCCAATGTCCTTCGGCGCGCGTTCCGCGACTACTACACGGACGACTTTGACCAGCGACTCAACAACGCATGGGCGATGACACCGGTAGACGCTTCAACCTGTCGGCCATTGTATCAGCTCGGGTTACTTTCGCAGGCGCCAAAGACGACCAGTGAAGACCATACAATCGATGCTGACAACAACAACGACCATGCGACAGAGACACCCGAGGTAACCGCGCGATTGCCCACGGGCACCTTGGGACGCGAGGCGTAGGAGCCCGAGCATCCCTACTTGGTGTACGGCCGACAACGCGTCGCCGAAGTGGAAGCCGGTATCTTGAGCCAATTTGACACAGCCCAGAAAAAGCTGCTGCGTAGACCTTCGGGCCAAGGTCCAGCAAGCCACCGACCTCATGGCACTGCTCGAGAATCGCCGCCGCGAAGCCTTGGAGAAGGACGAGGCGCAGGTGGGCGATTTCTTCTATTGACAGAATCGTAATTCGTGTATAATCCACTAGGCGCGGGAGCTCGTCAAGCAAGGGCTCGTCGTGAAAGCGCAGATTCCCATCGGACCCTCCAACTTTCGCCTCGACGCCGCCGAGCTGGAGCCGTTTGGTAGTACAGACTTTCGAGCGCCCGCAGAGAATACGCTAAGCACGTCTTCCTATGAACAGGCGAGTTTGCCCAGTCGCTCATCCAGGCGCGAAATCTGCTGGAAGAGAACCATCTCAAAATGCTCGATCGGTCGGGCAACGGCCCCACGGCGCAGATCAAAGGTTACCTTGTCTTTATCGATACAAGCACATACGCTGCAACGCGACGTGTAGCGGCCAAGGCGGCGATCGAGACGCCGGGGTACCTCAAGTCGACGTCGACGGTCCAAACACGCAAGGAATCGACGTTGCACAAGTTTTACATGAATGAGCACGGCGACGACGACGAGTACATTAGCGACTTTGTGGATGAGGTCGATTGTCTTTAGCGCTGTATTGACATATTGATATATATATATATAATTCGTAGGTCGTGCCGCGCGCCAAGCCGACGCCCAAAGCGGTCGCGCACACGATTTCGACGGACGACGCGGCCCTCAACAACAAGATTCTGCACCGCATGCAGAGCAAGCTTAACTTTGTCCGAAACCCGCGCTTCGATACCAACAAAGTGACGCTCGAGTACCGAAATTCCTATCTTTTGAAAAACCAACAATAGGGTTTATAAAGACGCATATTGTCTAGGTCGGAGCCACCGTTTGTGGTGCAGCCCAACCCGGTTGAATTTCTCGCCTACGAGATTGGCGGCATTTACGAGCAACTCGTGTTGATCAAAAATGTACAGTTGACCAAACATCCCTTATTCGATTCACGATTTTTGACAATTCACAGGTGAGTGCGATCAGCAGTCGGTGTCGCGTGCTGCCGCCAGCGACGGCGTTCTTCATGCTTGCCTCGGTGCAATTCCCCGATGAGACCGGACTGATTGCGCCGGGTATGCTTGATACGTTGAAACGTTGAAATTTTTCTCATTGACTACATTGACGAGGGTAGGGCTCAGCTGCCAAGTGCGCATCCAGTTTGCACCGGATACGCGCGCCGACTACAACGACGTGTTTGTTGTCATGATGGACACGCCGCAGGGCACGGTATGTGCTGTCGACGAGACTTGATACACTGATATTATCATTGCAGGATATTCCATTGCAAGTGCCCATTCTGGCGCACCGCGAGCCGCCGCAGCTTTCGATTCCATCGACGCTGCAAGCCCACTGCTGCTTGATTGGAGGTGTTGGAATGACGAGGTGCTCGTCACGCTGACGTCATTGTAGACACGTGCGTCACAACGATCTCGTGTCTCAACCAAGGCGGCCGTGGTCGGTTTTGGCTCATGACCGAAGACGAGTGGGAGAAGGCGCTGTCGCACTCGTCGCTGATCGACCACATCAATGCGCTCATGCGCGAACCGCTGCCCGCGGTAGGATTCGACTAATTGCTGCTTGAACCATAAACATGTGCAACTAGACACCGAAAGCCCTCTGCGTCGGGCCCTTCCAGCTCTCGCCAAGTGCATTTGATCTTCAAAAAGGTGTTATTCGATGCGCCAGTGCGCTCATTTTGCTGATTGAGGACGTAGGCGCCATGGTGGAGCTGGAGCTTACGTACACACCAACAATGGTCGGGCATCAAGTGGTGCCGTTCGTGGTTGTCTGCGGTACCATCGACGTTTTCTCTCGGCAGGATTCTCCTAGCCATAGGCACTAGACAACTGTCTGGTCAAGACGTTTCAATTGGCAGGCGAAGGGTGTGAAATCCACGTCTTCCCGATCGCTGTCAACGAGAAGGCGATCGAGACCAAAGTGCAGACAATGGGGTACATTGCTGATACAATATCGTCCTTTCCAATGCCTGTGTTTAGACCACTGGACCGCTTGCTCTTTCCGCCGCTCGTCGTCGAGTACCGTGACAACATCGTGATACATGACGGTCTCTCATCGATTATTTTTCGTTTAGCTCGTCGTCGTCGCAGACATTTGAGCTTTGGAACGACACGCGACTCGATTTGCCCTTTGAATGGCAGCTGCGTACACGCTCGTTATCGTTTCAAAGGCTCAATTTGCTCGGGGTGGGTAGAGGAGCCCAGCGTGTTTCGAGTCGCCCCCTCGCAGGTACCGCGCTGACCCGTCAACTCAGACAAGTCAATAACGCACTACAATAGGGCACACTCACGCGCCAAAGTGCCCTCCGGTTCCACGTCACGTTCGAACCGACGGTATCAGCTCAGTGCGCAGATGCAATAACAGACACTTGTCATGGTAGAGAGTGGCGTCGTTTGCAGCGACTGCCAGCTTGATGATACTCAACGTGCCACCCTTCTGCTTGCCCGCACGGGCCCCCGACCGCGTCGACAGTGTCCGGTACGCTGCATGCGTCGGCATAGCGTGGGATGACGACTGCTTTGCAGCCCTCCGTTGACAAGCGTGGTCGCAATGCAGCTACTTCTCGAAGGCACGGGACGACACGTAGGCTCGTGGCCACAGACCAGAAGGACAGGATCGGTTCGTAGGCGCTCGTCAAAGTCTCACCGAATGTCGTGGCGTTCGGCGCCGGTGTGCCGCAGCAGCAGCCCCTTGCCGTCAACTTGACGCTGGCCAACCCGAATGACTCGCAAGTCCATTTTGACTGGCATGCGCTGCCGCCAAGTACGACGTGTTTCTTGCATGTACCATAATGTACACTAGATGCGACGATCACGCCCCAGACTGGCGTTCTGAGTGCCAATAGCTCGACAATCGCCAAGCTCCAGTACACCCCACGTAGGCTCCGTCGCGTCCTGTTGTGGCTCGGATGATGATGCACACGATGCAATAGTGCTCACGGGCGGATTTGCGTTGCCGCTGACGTGCCACATTGGCCAAGGTCTTCAGGAACCAAGCGACAAGGTCTCGATTTGGGTCGAAGGCACGGTGCCACGCCCGCACATTCGGCTCCTCTCGCCCGAGGTACCGACCTGCATGTACTTGAGAGATATAATGGATACGATAGATTGACTTTGGGCTTGTCTCGGTCGGGCACTCGGCGACACAAGTGCTGCGCTTCCGTAACGAGTCGACGGCAATCGGTACATTTTTGTTACGTACCTGCTCTGTAAAAATGTATCTTAGCTAGCTACCGCTTCTCGCATGTCGGCGCGTCCGTGCACAACCCTGCACCGCTCAAGTTGATACAAACTTGATAGTTTGATTGTTCATTTCGTTGCGTGCCTGTAGACGCTCCAATTCCAACGAGTCTTTGCTCTCGCGCTTCTCCATGGTATATTCTTGAAAGCAAATTCCATGGATCCCACAACACGATGCATAAGGTGTCGTCCGAAGCGAGCAAGACCGATGATGAGAAGATCGACACGCCTCCTCGGTGCCTCTCGTTCTTTGCTCTCGCTGCTGACGCGGTATAGATGCGTCATCACGTTTACCCCCGAGGAAGGGTCGCTTTTGCCGGGCGAGATTGGCCAAGTTTCGGTCCTGTGCATGTCGGGGAAATACCCGGAACGCTTTCGAGGTAGTATCGCCTTGGTTTGATGCTGCAACGCGTTAGTAAACCCGTCGTTGCGTAGCGTCGTTCCAGTGCGAGTTGCTACAGGAACCGCTTACGTGCGCCAGCTTCATTTCGGCCCGCGCCGAGATTCAATGCCCCCAAGTGTACTTGACGATCACGCGCATCAACTTGGGTATGTACAACAATGTGACATACTGGTCGTCGAAGATTGCTTTGCAGGCACCACCTACATTGGCGTGCCTGTGCAGGCCACGTGCCAGCTCATCAATGTATCGAACCTGCCCGCGTCCTTCAAGTGGGTCGAGCCCCAGGGTCACCTTTTATACATTGCTCTCGTATGGAGCCTAGACGTTGCAACTAGGCCGCTCCAAGGCGTACACGATTGAATTTGAGCCCAAAGCCGGCAACCTTGTCTCAAAAGAGTCGCTCACCATCACGGTGACGTTCACCGGTTCGAATCGCACATTCAAGGGGATTTTCAACGCATTTCGTAGGTCGGGTGCCGGGCTTTACCAACGCCGTCTTTGCCTGCAACGTCCGCGGCCTCTTGGCACCACTGGGGTTTGAACTCAGTACGCTCCAAAAAGGGTTGGTCCAATGTTCTGTTTTCATCGATTGATCCATCGATCGCGTAGACTTGTGCTGTCGTATGAGCTTCTCAAGCCCAACGAGCCGATTCCGGAGCTCGCACCCCACACGGACGCGCCGGCCGGCGCCTTGCTGCCCAAGCTGCAGTTTGGCGAGGAAGTCGCGCTTTTCGAGCGGAAAACCGTACGTTATTCCTCGCGATTATTGTCGATCGCGTGTCTAAAATCACGCGTAGCTTCGCCTCCTGATCCGCAACCACAGCGGCATTCCCGCCAAAGTGTCGTTTGAAGCCAAGAAATACGCCGCGGCCTCGAGTACGCACATCCCAGGGCGACGTTTACCATACATATATTGTCGTGGGTAGCGGAGACACCCCCCGAGAACCTCTTGGAGCCACCGCAAAACGTCTTTCAGTCGGCCCAAGGTTCGTAACACAGGTCGTGGCATCCTATGCACCGTCGCATCCTATAGGACAGCAATACAAGGCCGAGCAAGCCAACGTGCTGGAAGACCGCCGGGTGCTCAGCCTCGGCCACGGCGTCGCTCTCGTATGTGGCCTCGATTCCAATATTGCCCGAGATATATTTGTATTGAGCGAGTAGGTGTGCTATCCCGCGGCGCTGACGATTGCCGAGTGGGAGCAAGCTGTCGTGCACATTACGTGCTTCAACAACATGTCGGGGCGGTGCGACAATATATATTGTTAGGGCGCGCTTTCTACATGTTTGTTAGCTACGTCGACGATATCATTGTGAAATTGGACACCATGCCTCCGGTGCGGCTGAGTGCAACGATCAACGTCGTCGGGTGCCCCCTGAGCATCAATCCCAACTGCGTCGGTCTCCTCATAAAGGTACACTCGATATATCGACTCGGAAATAGTGTCTTCCCTTGCGCGTAGAACGCGGGGGTGTGGCCGGTGCTCGAGTATGGCATGCTGCCCCTGCACTCGGAGGTCTGCAACATATATATTCGTTTCAATATGAACGATGGACACTTTCATATGGCAGAGCGTCGTCCGCAAGATCCAGATCATCAACACGGGCCCGATCCCTGCCAAACTCGCGTGGAAGTTGCTCGAATACCCCGACCCAGACAGCCTCGAGCGCGTCGTGGACCTTCGCATCCAAGTTCTCGACAGCGGGGTAGAAATATTGCATATTGTGCACGAGGGCTCGCTCATCATGGGAATAGAGTCTTCAAGTGACGATTCGGCCGCACTTGCAAAAGGAAGCCTCGTTTCTGCCGTTCCAAGTCGATCCCCAAGACAAGATCGTGCCCAAGCATGGCCACGCTACGTTTCAAATGACATTTTTCCCAGCGCGCAACACTGGCATCGGGTACCTGAAGCACCAATATACGAATACTCAGCCATATATATTAGGCTCACGCGCGCGCTCTTGGTCGCAGATGCCGAGTGGCTGCACAATGACAATGGTACTCCTTCCTCACTATTGAACCTACGACGATGTGCCTAGACGGCGTCGACCACGGCGCGTCATCGGCGACGCTCAGCAGCAGCGCGTCGGCGGTCACCGATGGCAACACCTCGTCTGCCAAAAGCATCATGATGGGTGCGGTCGGGAAGGCTCTCAAAGCCGTGCGCCTCACCAACTCGATGGCAAAGTACAAGAACGGTACGGACACTCCATTGTGTCGATCCAAAATATTCATTGTGCATTCCTAGGCTCGCTCAATATGAAGTCGTTGGCGTGCCTCAAGCTGGCCATGTCGGGTCATTTGATCCAGCCCCACTTGCACTGGGACAAGGGCACGACATCGGGCGGTCTGCAGTGTTTGACGTTTACGACCTGGTATTTAGATTGATACCTTGATGATCTAGCAACGTATACTCTCTAGGTCGCTGTACACCAAGGTACCCGACCACCCGCTCCACACGCAAGCCGTTCAGCTCGTGAACCGCATGGCCACCAAGCTCACGTTTCGCCTGGAAACGTCACGTACACAAATGGCGTGATAAGACAATAGTGGTCACTAGTTGACGTAGCGGACACACCCTTTTACATTGTCGAAGCCACGTCCGTGGCGACGCCGCACCCGCTGAGCCCCAGGTACGACCGTCAGGCGCAATCAATACCTACCATCTTTATATAGTGTGCTGTCGCCCGCGCAGCGGTCCATCAAGTTCAACCAGCAGCCAGCACCCTGCTTCACCTTGGGCCCGGGCCAATCGGTGCACGTCAAGATTCACTTCGTTCCAAAGCTCGTAGACGCCCCATTCGTCGGCAGAGGCCATTATTAAAGAGCTATCGTAGCCGCCGCCCACGTCCAGCCGACGCGAGCCCGCCGTCGTGTTTGTTCCGGGCGCCCTTACGATCCGCTTCAGCCAAGGCACGCTTCAGACGATTCAGCTCCAAGGACGCATCTTGCGCCCTATCCTCGTCCTTGCGCCGTCGCACTTCAAGTTTGGGCTCGTCCACTGCGAGCAGCACGAGACCGTATTGAAACTACATGATCCCTCGCATCATCGTTTCAAGACGACGAGCTCACAAGTGTATCTCGGGCGTAGGTCAAGGTCTTTCTCTCGAATCCCACCGAGGTGGACGCGCATTTCACGGTGCACCATGTGCCACAGCTTGGGTCCAAGACCGTCGACGACCCTTCGGTAGACGCTCTTGGATTCGGACCTTGATACACATTGGAGGGCTAGGTGTTTCAACTCAGCATCTCATCGGGCACGCTGCGTGGTCCATCGCTGCCGCTGCACAACAGCGGTACGTGCATGCTTGTGCTGTGACACGAGGTAGAAACAAAACCTGTGGGTAGGTGCGCTCGTGCCATCACCGTCGCCGCAGTACCAAGCTGCGATCCATCGACCGCTGGAAGTGCTCGTAGGACGACGACCTATGTTTTGACTGGAAAAACGTCATATGGGTCGGTAGGTGACGTTTTCGCCGAAAGCTGCCGCGTCGTACAAGTGCCGGTTCCACTTTAGCGTCGAGCTCGGCGACGGCTTTGACCTGGTTCTTGAAGGTACGCAGCAGAGTGTCATGGACGGTCATGGGACGTCGGTGACGTTCTAGGCCACGGGACGCTGGACGAAGGCAAGACGCAAAAGGTGTCGCGGTCGCTTCCACGCGCGCAGCCCCTTCGCCACTCGCATTTTATGTTCGGCGCCATCTCCGAGTAGATAAAACTACATTGGCGTAAGGTTCCATGTAAATGTAAACTACTACATAAGTCTATTGCAAGCAGCAGTGTCGTTGATGACGCCTGTGCGCGACCCTTGTCATTCTCGACCACGCAACACGTCGGAATCGGGTCGCTTAGTTGCCTGCTTGCGTGCCTGGATTATCCACTTCTCATTTGGTAGATACATCTAATACATTTAACTTGACCGTCGAGCTCATTTCATTTCAGAGTCATTGCTGAAACCAAGGGTCAATCAACTGCTTCTCGACCCCTGCTACAGCGTACAACAAACGCTGGCTTGCAACTCACCAGCTTGAAACCTTAAAATTTTACAATTGATACTTCTGTGCCTTTTACCACTTGCGTCGCACCTTATTCCTGATACATTGATACACTAACGCATGATCCGATAAGTTGGGTTGCCCCTGAACGTGACACTGTTAAATTTTGCCGCGGGAGCTCAAGAATGGATGCCTGGGTCGGTAACGAGGTTTGTGCGTCGGTGCTCGCAGCTCCTCGCTCATCGACTGCACGTAGCTAGCACAACTGCGGGCCATTGCCCCAACCTGCGCGACTTGGGACCAAGTGGCCGCGTACTTCACTCGTCATTCCGCCCGTGACTGCCAACGCACTTGGTACTCGGTGTTCGGCAGAGCAACTCGACATCATGGACCTTGGGCTATGGATGAGAACGACCGACTACACTTTGCGACAAGCTTGACGAGCGATTGGGACGTGGTCGCCTACATCGTTGCCACCCGCGAGTATGTCTCTCGCTTCGCACGATCACGAGGTGCGGATTGACGCCATGATTGTGTAGCTGTGACCAATGCCAACGCCGCTGGAAGGTCGTTCAAAGCAAACGCGCCACGATGTCGCTGACTGGCACGACGAAGGCGCGAGCTATCAAGACGGAGAGATCGCACTTGGAGCTCTTGGGCACCCATCTCTCGACCAGTTTGCATGCGGCGCGAGACGGGAGCTCGGTGGTGGAGGCGCGCAACTGGCAGTCGCCTCTCAAGGTGCCCAGCCCTACGGAGAGCGACGGCGACCATGTGCAAGCTGCTACGCACATCTTCTCGATGACGCAACCAGCAGTGCAGCCCGCGTCGACAGAGCCGATGGAAGCAGTCGCTGCTATTCCGACTGCATTCACGCAGCAGGCTCCGAGCCTCGAGGACTTTGCCGACGAAGCCGTCGAGCCAACACTGGGGCACACGTTGTTCGTCGCATACGGTCATCCATTCATGACCGAGTGAAATTTATTTATTTCAACGATGATCCCACTGGATTCCCTGGCTCGTGCCGCGGCCGTCCTGTTGCATTCGCATGAGATTGATACATTGATATATATCGTTCGTCGCTCAGTAATGGTTTTTCGTACTAGAGTAGACTGGTTTGCCGTCTACCGCAGCCGCATCCCACGTGCTGCCGAGGGCTTGACGGGAAAAAGATACGTAAATGTAGTAGAAAAGACGGAGTCATCAACCAAATGAGTGGATTCTCACAGGAGACTTATCGAAGACGGTTGCCTTGGCCCTCGAACGGCTTGGGGGCGGCCTTGGTCTCTTCCTCCTCTGGTTTCGGTGCGCTCGTCGGCGCCACCGTCGTCGGTGCAGCGTACGTCGATGTCGCGCCCGTGAGTGAGACCCCGGTCCCATGGAACGCCTCGTAGCGCTTCAGTCGAGCCGCTCGGAGTGCTTCGGCGTCTGTGTTTTGGTCGGTTGCCTTCTTCATGCGGAGGCCGCCGAGGCCCGAGCCGCGCGAGGCGGGGCGAGCGGCGGCAAACGCTTCGCGCTTCATCGTGGGCACACCGCCAAACGGCTGGTTGGAGACGGGCGCGGGCGCCGCCGCCGCAACGGGGGCCGGCGGCGGGACATAGTCGGCAGGCGCTTCAAAGTCGACTTCGCAGTCCGTCTCAATGATACTGGCGGCGTCGACAGGTCGCACCTCGCGGACGTCGAGGAGGTAGTTGCGGTTGTTGTACTGAATGCAAATCGTGTCGCCCACCGTCATGCACGAGTACTTGCGCAGCGACGCCTCGAGGCTACGCAACCAGAAGACACCTCTGAGGTGTGTACATAAAGACAATCGACAAGGCGTACACGGCGCGGGTGTTGGTAATGTCCAGAAAGTCCTTGGACTGCGGACGGATCTTGACAAAGGTCGCCTTCGGCAACGTGACGTTTTGGATGTTGAGGATGCTGCCTTCGGTGAGAAACATGTTTTGCATCATCTAGCCAACTCGCATGAGGAGATTCCATCGTCGTCGTCGTCGACGACGTACCCAGTAGGGCATGTAGCAGCTGCCCTCGGGCGCGCTAAATTCGAGCACGCCGCAGTGCGACACACGGTTGACCGCTTCGTTCTTGATCTTGAAGAGCATCGGGTACTCGATATGCAGGCGTGCTACAGTCGCATGAGCGCTATCCTCGTGTGGGCTGGCGTGGCGTACCCAGCGTCTCGAGCGCGGACGGCGGCAAGAGAACTAGCACCACCGATCAAGCACGAACGATAAGCAATGTCGTCGTACTCTTGTCGCCGTCTTCCAAGTGCGCCTTGTCGCAGAACGACACGGGGTACACGCGGTAGTGCTCGTCAAAGCTAGCGTCCATGCGCCATGACCATGTAGCTCGATCGAGGAGCGCTCGTACCGCTGCGGAAAGTTGTGGCCAAAGCCAAAGTTGACACCGAACGGGTTGTTGCCGCCTTGTCCGCCAAAGAACTAGGCCAAACATGAGCCCTCCCGCCGTCGCCGTCGCCGTCGCCGGCCATGCTGCCACGTACCATGCTCCTTCGTTGTCTGCCGTCGACCGACCCTTTCTCGCTCTGGGCGGTGTGGGACGCGTCCATCTTTATTTACACATTTTAATGCAATACAAATACCAAGCTACTTGTACCAAAAAGAATAAAATTAGGGACTATTAACGTCCTACGCGCTTTCAAAGCGCTTTTTTGACGAACGTTCCGCGTGACTTGCCCGCTGTCCAGTGACACATAAATTAGAAAGATCGCTAGTAGGACATGGGCGGGCGCTTGTGGTACGGGCCCTTGGCGATGGCCTCGGCGAGCTCGGTCGCATACTGGTTGGTGTCGGCGAGCGACTTTTCCAGCTGCGCAATCTTGGCGTCCTTGGCCACGGCGAGGCGCACCATCGCGTCACGCACCTGCTCGTTCGTCGAGAGCATGTCTTCGAGCGACATGCCCGCAAAGGGCACTTGGGAGTGGAGCATGACCTCGGAGCGCAGCTTCTCGCGCTCAGCGTTGCTAGCCTTGGACGCGAACGGCGAGTACTCCCACGCTTGGTTCCACGCGGTGGTTGTGAGCGACGTGGCGGTCGAGATCGCCGTGTGCACGCGTGGGTTGGTCAAGAGCGACGTAATGTGGTGCCCACGCGACGAGGCCTGGTGCTGCAGCTGCGAGACCATGTAGCTCACGGCCGGGTACGTCATGCTGTACTCATACAAGTCCTTGGCCGTGTGCAGCACGGGCTTGAACGTCTCGAGCGCATCGAGGTACCCTTTCAGGACAACGTCTTGGTCCAAGAGCGTGTTGACGCCCGAGATGCCTTGGGCACTCAGGTTCAGAATGAGCTGCATGATCGCTTCGGTCGTCACGCTCTCTTTCTTGAGCTTGTTGGCGGTCATGTCGAGCGACTGCGCGACCGACTCGAGCACGATCTCCTTCTCGAGGGCCATAGCGATGGTCTAGACAGCGATGATGAACATCGATGCAACGCATCGCTCTCGACTACCGTGGCCCATACCTGCATGATGCGACAGAGCGCCTTGATGACCATGGGCTTCTCGAGCGCCGCTACATAGCACATCCCGTGATTCGAGCCGAGACGACGCATGTAGCAATACCAGCGACAGCTTGGAGCGACTGCGACGCCACGGGGCCCGTGTGCTTGAAGCGCAGAAAGGACGACGAGATCTCGAGAAACGCCACGATGAGGTTCGTGAGCGTCGTCGTCGCTTCGGCACTTGGGGTCTCCGCTGCGAGCTTGGACGGCATGGTCGGAGGTGGGTTCAGTTCTTGTTGTTCTGGCGTCTGAGGAGCGACCGACTCTGGTGCTTGCATCGTCGCTGGTTATTGTTCCACAATCTTAGAATCTGAAGCGTGTCAACCCAATCGCCGGCGCCAGCAACGTTGACGCAAGCACTGCGACAGTCCCAAACCTGCGAGAACGCATAAGTGCCGCGCGCCAGACAAGCCCGCCGTCAACACGTCATAAAAAGTCGCCGTTGACGCCATCCAAACCTCTCACACTTGATGGCATGCCGTCAACTTCATCGAGTGGAAGAACCTGTGCAATCGAATGCCACGGGACGATACCACAAGCGGGGAGTATTGGCCGGATAAACCTCTTAAACTACATATTAAGGGGACGTTGATACGGCAAGGATAGACGCACGCCCCCTAAGCCTGTGTCTCGGAAGGTTGTCGCCAGTGGGCTCCTTCACCACCGTAGATGCGACGCACCTTGCATTGCCTTCTTTGTTGACTATAATAAAGTGTGCCCAGTGCAGCCAAAGTCCCATCAGCGATGTCCTGATGCAGACAAACTGTGGGCGTAAAAATGCGTGGGTTTAGCCATCGACAGGCGCAGCGTATCCGGCGACGCCGTAATCGTGGGTGTGAAACCCATGGTGGTAAACGTGAAAAACGAAGTGGAAAAGGGCATAGACATGCAAAGAGGGCTCGTCGCGCGTGTAAAATCAAATCCCACGTCCAGCGCGTGTCTAATCGCCTCAAACTCTGGAAAGAAATGGCTGTTGCGCCACCGCACGTGGCCGACGACCTCTTGAGCGCCGAATGGTCGGACGCGACCGAGGTACGTGGCAGCCGCATGGGCGTGGTCTCCTCACGCCTTCCGTAGCTCTTCTTTGATGCGTCGAACGCGCTCACGCTGAGCCAAATGGTGCACGTGCCCTTCTTCAACTCCTTTGAGTCCATGTCGGCGCTCGAGCTCATGGACCCCAAGATGGACGCTGGCATGGTTGGCCAGAACGAGCTCATTCTGCCGGTGGCCGAGCGCCTCGCCAAAGGTTCGTCTGCCATGACGGTTCCGCATCGTGATCCGTGCGATACTATGGTAGGCTTGATCCCAATGACGTTCACGTCCGCAACGAGCCTCGTCGCGACACTTGATCGCATTGAGCAGTGCGAAAGCGCGTGGCGCAATGGCCAGTCCATGGAGCAGTCGCTCTTGATGTGCTTGTACCTGCATCCGGTCGTCTCGAGCGCCCTCCTCCAGCTCGAGTCGGACGACGTCATGACGTTGGCGGTCGGTCCGTCGAGAGACGACTCGCTGCTCTGTGTCTTCCGGGCGTACCTTCTCTTGACGATCAAGGCGTGTACGATCCAGCGCAACGCGATTCTCCGCGCCGACATTTACGAAGAAGAGGACTTTGCCCCCGCGAGTGCTGACGTGCCCCGTGGCGACGTCATCGATGACGCACTTGTCTTTGCAGCTCTTGAGATCGCCGAGCAGCGCTTGGATGCGCTTTTGGCCAAGAAGAACAAGAAGAAGCCGTCGTCGATCGAGCCACTGCATCCGACGCTCGGCCTCGAGTTGGCGCAGCTCCTCTCGACGCGCCTCCAGTACAAGAAGCACTTTTATTTCGCGCTCGCGAGCCTCGTACGCGCGAACATCATGCGGGATAAAACCTCATGATTGGGCGTAGGGCACGGCCGAGTGCCCGGACTTGGAGCGCGCGACGCACTTTCTGGACATTGCGATGACGCACCTGGGTCAACTCGCGACCGAGTCGCTCGAGGTGCCGCCGGCGTGCTTGCAACCAGAGACGTACGTCGGGTTTGACAACCATATCGGACGTGTGTTGGCGTCGACCGCGCCGCCCCGCGCGGCCAAGCTCGAGTCGTTTGCGACGGTGGTTGGCACCAACCAAACGCTCTGTGCGCACCTTCGGCTCGGAACGTCGCCGGAGACGTTCAAGTCCATGGACGACCTCAAGGCGTTCTTGAGCCACATGTCGTCGCTCACGCCCAACATCCTCGTCCGGTCCTACATCCTCGTACGTTGCGATTTTTTAGGTTTTCTGATGATGGCTTTCGGTAGCTCTTTCTGTACATCGACAAAAAGATGTATGGCCAGTACAACTTCATGGAGTGGCTCGGCGACTCGATGGTCATGGCGGGCGTGCCCTCGGTGCTGCTCTCGACGCAAGAAGGCATGACGTACTCGTCGCGCTGCATCGAGGCCGTCTACGAGTCGCTCAAGCTGCACATGCACAACCGACCGCGCCAGCGCTCGCGCTTGGAGCTCATGCTCCAGGACTGGGTCATCCTCGAGTCGGAAGCCGTCGCGATCGACGACAAATTCGTCACCGAAATGGGCATCCCCGTAGCGTTGCATTTCAGCCAGTTTGGAGATTGATACCTTGATACTTTGCTGTCTAGAAAGCCACCTACCCCCGTTACTTTACGGCGTGGGCCCTTGAGCAAACCTTGGGCTTGATGCAGCAGTACCTCTACCTTGGTTTTGAACTCGACTTGTATGCGTCGTCCGAGTTTGGCACCATGTATTGGTATGTCCATGATATATGGTCGATGGCTTTTATGACAATATTTTTGTATATTAGCTACCTCGACTACCTTCTCGGGACGCGGATACACAACCTGACCAACGCATGGTCGTTTGTCGAGAAGCTCAAGACGATGACGCGCCCCGAGTCATCGCCGCCGCCGGCACCGACCAAGGCGCCCAAGAAGAACGCGAAGAAGGGCGGCAAGCCGGCGGCAAAAGCCAAGGCCGAGCCCGAGGCCATCGTGGATCCGATCAAGGAGAAGTACGCGCTTGAGATTGCACTCCTCGAGACGCACCGCGCCTTGGTCCGCGCCATGTTCCAGGTACGTGCTAGCTTCCTCTGAACGTGTTGCCATGATGCTCTACCTAGTACGTTGTGGGGCTGCAGCTGGACGGCCTCTTGCCGGCGGATCTACCCGTGTACGGCTCGCCCGAGATCCGGTATGCGCACCGCTTCCTGCCGTTCCAAAAGCTGCAGTACCCGCAGCCGCTCTCGCATGCCGAGATGACGCGCAATTGCGACTTTTCGCAGTACGACGTCCATGTCGTGTACCAGTCGTCGGACGAGTGCTTCAAGATGGCGCGCGGCCACATTGAGCAAGTGTTGGCGAAGCCGTCGCTGCCGGCCCGCCTCGCGCTCGAGCTCAAGGCGCTCACAAAGGTGTGCGTCTCGAACGGCGTGTACCTCGCGCAGCTGGAGAAGGAGAAGATGGCGCTGTCGCTCCAGGCGCTCTCGCTCACGGAGAAGAAGGCCAAGCTCGAGATCGCATTCCATGTCCATCCGCAGTACCCGACGATCCAGCTCCAAAAGTCGCTCGCGTAAAGCAAGCGTTCGAAGACATGTGTTGTTGCAATACGAGTACAGACAGCGTGCGATGATGCGACTTACTGCGTCTTCTTGGTCGCCGCCTCCTTGGCCTTGCGCTCGTCGGCGTCGATGCTGTCGATGAGTGTCTTGGCCGCGAGGAGCGCGACGATGAAGAGAGGGACGACGATGGCGGCGAGGACAGCGGCCCAGAACTTGGGGTCCTCTTGGATCTTGGTCGCAATGAAGTGGAGATGGTCGTGGTCCAGCATCGCTTCCTTGCTCGAATGCTGCAGGTTGATGAAGACCGCTCGGAAATGGCGAGATGCCATTGGGTGACTAGCCAGTTGCATGTTGGCGATAGAAATGCATTTATAGGTATACTTTATAATGGATCCAACCGCTATCTCCATATTCGTATTTTAATTTGCATGCTTTGTGCAAGAATAGCACGCTGACATACGTACGTAAATTAGTGTCAAATTAGAGACTTGGCACGGATCTGCCTTGATACCCTGTAGTCGCAAGGTCCCAGGGCGCTTTCGAACAGTCATTGTTTAGTACAGCGCTACGTATATACTCCGTAGTACAAACAATACGTCGTTCGGTCTAGAGGGTGCAGTCGATTCAGCTACTACCGGTACTTGAAGGCTAACCCTTCCGAGATACCAGTCTACGCACACGATTCAACATTTATCCTAAATACTGTAAGCGAAGCGTATCTTGGACAGGCATGCGCAAGCGAAGTGTGTTGGACGAGGTTGAGCATGCGCTGTACCTCCAGAGCGTCGAGCAGCGTGTGGCCAACGGCGAGGATCCGGCGACGATCGACTCGTTCCGAAAGCACAAGTGGAAGCTACAGCGCAGCCGCACCGCAGGTCCGCCGCCGACCACGCAAGAGACCACCGCCGAGCCCGTCGCCGAGGTGCTCGCGCCCACAAGTCCCGTCGACAACACGACCGCAACGACTAATGCCGAGGCAGTCGAAGCCGCGCCATTAAGCACGGATGCGGCATCGCCGCCGGCCGCCCGCGTCGACGCCAAGCGGCTCGCGTATCAGCAGTACCTTCTCGAGCTCATTTCGCCGGCGCTTGTCAACACACCACATGTCCGCTTCGAGCCGGTCATTGCGCGGGGCAATGACGCCTTCAATATGGCGATGCCGTGTGCACGCGACGGTGCAACTCTCACAGCATGCAACGAGCTCCTCGTGCTCGTCGGTGGCTCGTACCTCAGCGACCCGGGGCACGCGCACCCGCGGGCGATCGTGCCGCGCCCCATGGCCGCCGCCGGCACAGTGCACTTTTCCAACCACGTCTTTGTCTTTGATCCGGCGTCGCACACGTGGGAGATGCCCCGGTGCACGGGTTCGTTTCCGCGCGGGCGGGCCGACCACAGCGCCGTGTTCTTGCCGCCGAAGTCGCTCGTCGTCTTTGGGGGTCGCGGCAAGCACGGCATTGTCTTCCACGACGTGCACATCTTGGACGTCGAGCTTTGGAGCTGGACACAGAGCGCACCGGTGGCGTCACCGCTTCGAGGGCGCTTCTGGCACGCCGCCGCCGTGGATCTCCGCTCGGCGCGGGCCTTTGTCTTTGGCGGGAAAGATTTGCATACGGTCTACGGGGACTTTATGGAGCTCTCGCTTACTAGAGACGCGGCACGCTGCCACGCGTGGTCTGAGCCGCTCACGATGGGTGCACCACCCACACCGCGGTTTGGCGCGACGCTTCTGCCGCTCGGAGCCGGGCACTTGGCACTGGTTGGCGGCTGGGAAGCCCGCAGCGTGCCGCACCAGCAGGCGCGCGCCACCCGCTGTCTGGATCTGTATGTGCTCGACCTCTTCACACACATTTGGTCGCGGCCGCGCCTGGCCCAGCATGTCGTGACGTGGTCGCTGCCATGCGAGCGGTTCTTGTGCCAAGCGTTTGTGATGGCCAACACACTGGTGGTCTTTGGAGGCTTCTCGTACGAGTCGTCGGCCTCGAGCTTTGAGAAGCCGTGGTTTGAACGCGAGGCGCCGGTCGCTGCCACCGCTTGCCATCCGCAGCGGTACGTCCATGGAATGACGCTCCGACCGGTGCACGACCCGTACGTCTACAAGCTGGATTTGCAGGTCATGATCTGGCGCCGACAGCCCATGACGCACGCTTCGGCAGGCATACAGGGGCTACCGACGGCCGTCCATGGCGGGTCGTACCCCACGCGTGGGAACTCTGGTTACGTGCATGCGATTGTGGCAGACGACCCGACGCACATGACACTGCTGCGATTGACGCTGACCAAACCTCACCCAATAGTTGTCAATGAAGACGAGGATGAAGACATGACGTTCGAGGTCGTGACCTAACCCTTGAGATTTTCAACCCTTGAGATTTCAAACATTTTTAACCAAGTTACAACCACGTCTCTACTGCGAGTATACTACGTTAGCAGCAGGCGGATGCACGGCGTTGGGCCAGTGGATGCGCGGGCAATGAACTATTCACCGACTCAAATGACTCGAGTATAGATTTCGAGAATGCGAGACTCAATTACGATTACAAATACACAATGACTTCTCTACTACATAGCAGTCGTTGACGACGTTCTTGGTGGAAACACGAAGTTGGGCCAGTGAACGCAGGGGTGGGTAAGGTCGTCTTCAAAGAGGCGAGTGCAAGGTCGGCCGTTGTCCGCGCTGAGAAAGCGCCCGATTGGCCGCGACACATCCAAATGGAATGCGTCCGTACACATGAGGTCCCATGCGATCCAGCTAAAGAAGAGGCTGTGCCCCACGTCGATGGTCGTGCCGCTGGTGTAGCTAGACACGATGTGAGTCCTTCCATACAGGTACGAGTATATAGAGATATGCAGATGAACATACGCAGAGAGGAGGTCGGTGGCGGCGTCCGAGAGGATCGCCTTGTCGGCAAGTAGCTGAGTGAGGAGGTCGCCAAAGGCGATAAAGTCGGCCCGGCGCGTCGATGCTGTGAGCGGTACAAACGCGTCGGTGCGGGCGAAGACGGCGGTGGCATCGTCCGTGACGACGACGTTCTGAAGCGAGAGAGAACCGTGTGCGACGCCGTGGGCGTGGAGGTAGGCGAGGCCGAGGAACACCTGGGACAAGTACCACGCCACTTCGCGCTCGTCCAGTCCAGTTGTCTTCTGGATCGAGCGCAGAGTGTGGCCGCGAAGGACCGGCGTCACGACAAACGCGGTCGTTCGCGTCTGGAACCGGTACCGTGTCGGCACCAAGGTCGCATGGCGCAGCGACGAGACGTCGATTGCCGGCGGTCGCGCTGTCGCCTTGACGGTGCACTGCAGAGCGTAGTAGGCGCCAGCGTCGGTGCCCGTCAGCTTTTGCACGAGGTGCACCTACATACTTAAGTGTGAGCACATGCGATCAACCTAAGATCGTAGTCTTACCTCGTCGTGTGTCGGTGTCGTCAACGTGCCGAGGACGGCGAAGTCGCTGCCGCCAACCGTGGTGGCCCGGGCGTACGCGTACTCTGGAATGTACAGCGGCCATACGCCTGGATCGTTGGCAAAGACGCGGGCTTGGAGCAGCGCCAAGTCAAACGCGTCGGTCGGGACGTCGTCGAGCTGCGGCGCGTCGCTCGGGTGTGGCGCTGGCGTCGTATCGAGGGTCGTCCAGTCGACGCCAAAGAAGAAGTCGGTCGCCATAAAGTCTGTCGCGGTGCTCTCCTTCGTCGCCGAGAACAAGCTACGCATCGATAGATATGAGACAAACGAGACGGCAAGGAGACGACGTACGCAAGGCAGAGGTCGCGCCCGGCGTGCGGCAAGCCGTGTTGACGGCACGTCGCGTCGGTGAGAAACGTGGCTTCGGTAAGCGGCCCGGCGCCGACAAAGAGCTGGTACACCAAGAGGCCAAACGCGTGCCAGTCGACGATCGCGCCCTCGCTGGCGAGTGGCGTCACGTGCTCAAAACCGGCGAGGACGACCGTGCCGTCGTGACCGAGGAGGACGTTGGCCGACGAGACGGCGCCGTGCACGTAGCCGCGGGCGTGGACATGGGCGAGGCCGGCGAGGACGCGCGCGAGGAGCTGTGCGCCTTCGATTTCGTCGACGCCACCGAGCAGTGTCGTGAGCGGCTGTCGCGCTGCCGTCGAGGCGACCTCGTACGCAGTCGTCGCGGTCTGAAACAGATACAATGGCGCGAGCACGTGGGGGTGGTCAAAGGCCTCGACGACGGCCTTGGCGCGAATTAAGCCTGGCAGCGACGCCGGCGTCTTGAGCGTCGGGCGCAGCGCGTACATGGTCCCGGCGTCCGACCCATGCGACTTGCGCACCACAAGCACCTACGACAGCGTTCGATATATATATCGCGTCGGCCAATCACACGCGAGCGTACCGAATCCATTGCGCCGACGACTTGGAAATCGGCGGCCGAGACATGGTCGTCGTCCGGCACCGGAAACGAAAGCGGCTCAATGGTCGGCAGCGGCATCGGCGCGCTGGCGCCGTCCGAGTCGGTCTCGGACGCAGTCGCCGAGGCGACGGGAGAAAGCACGAGGGCTCGCTTCGCGGCGACGCAGGCCCGGCAGACGACACCGCGGTCGCTCAGAAAGCTGCAGTGCTTGCACACGGGCGCGTTGCAGTCGGCGCAGTGCGCATGGCGCCGCCACGGCAGGTGCACGCGGCTGCATGGCGCAACGTCGGCGCTCCACTCGAACGCAAGGCGCACGCCGCCGTGGCCGTGCGCAAAAGGAAAGAAGCCTTCGGTAGCACCTACGCATAGAGATTGCGTGTGGCATCCCTCCGTCAAAAGAGCGTGCATGTACCGGTGGTGGTGCTAGTGTCGAGCGAGCAAAGCGGGATCGACGTTGTTCCAAAGACGTCGTACCCACTGCACAGGCACGCGGACGCGTCTTTGATGTGCACGGTGATGCTGATGGTGTCGACGGGCGGAAGAAACTCGACGGCGGCGCCCCATTGAGCAACGTCCTTGGACTTGAGTGTCTCGCGCTGGGCGCCACAGACGAGGCGGAGCTTGGTCGAGACGACCGTGGCGGCAAACTGGTCGAGGTCCACCGCGAGCACGGTGACGACGAGCGAGTTGGTTTGCGAGAGCGGCTGCATGCTGAGGATGAAGATGATCGTAGTCGAGAGAGCAAGGGATGCAATATGAACGTGTAGAATGTGGTTAAGCGGGAAAAGCGGCGTCGTTCGATCGTTTTTCCCGCTTCACCACACTCTACACTAGCTACACCAGCGGCACGACCATCGACGTGGGGCACAGTCTCTTCTTTAGCTGGATCGCATGGGACCTCATGTGCACGGATGCATTCCATTTGGATGCGTCGCGGCCAATCGAGCGCTTTCTCAGCGCAGACAATGGCCGACCTTGCACCCTCCTCTTTGAAGACGACCCTACCCACCCCCGCGTTCACTGGCCCAACTACGTGTATCCACCACCAACGTCAACAACGACTGCTATGTAGTAGAGACGGAACTTTGTATTTGTACTCGTAATGGAGTCTCGCATTCTCGAAATGTACAATAGGTCCTGCCCATCACTGCCAGAATATAACAGAAAAAGGCCATCGCATTATGCAGTAGAAGGATTCGTGCACTGCCTGCACCAACGAAAATACAGTTGAGTCATTTGAGTAGGTGTATAGTTGCTACCGGTAGGAACGTACTAGTATGCTCGTTGGTGCAAGGCTTCTGTCCCGCAGAGACGCGTCGTGGTTGTGAAATGCAATTTGGCACGCTACCACTCTTTTTGGCCGCAAAGAAAATCGGCGTCGGCTGCTGCATATCCCTGCCGACCGACGAAGCGCGTGCAAAGGTGCGTCGCGGATCAGCTCACGCGCGTGAGCATCCGCAACACCCAAATCTGGTCGCTGGGCGTGCCACGTATGACAGTTACACCGTATCCATGACGTGGCGTCACCCGTGCGCAGCATCGTTTCAAAATCCAGGGATCCCTCTTTGTCGTCCTTTGCTTCCAATAAAACATATTCTCCCGCGAGGTAAACAGACGTCGTGCTATTTGAACTCAATACCGATGAATAGATTAAAACGCAACTACACACAGAATTAAATACTATCTTGGTACGCCAGCGAGAGGCAGTACTCTTCAATGTCAAAGCGAAAGGGCGCGCCGCCGAGGTTGAGGACACACGCGTCGTTGAACGAGTGGAGCGCAACCGCCGCCGCGTATTGGATGTTCTCGGTCGGGATGAGCACCGGCGGTGCACCGATCATGCGTCCGTTAAGCGTGAAGAAAATCTCGCGCGTCTTGCGGTTGAAGCCGCAGCCAACGACCGACCCGTCCGGGCTGGTCTCGTTGTCCTTGCCAAAGCCAGGGCCAAACGACGAGCGCACGCCGCCGTAGCTGACCTCGCCGTTGTGCGCAACGAAGCCACCGTCGTGGCTGTGGTACCCAAACGAGATGCCCTTCCAGCCCACGTGGTCGTCCATACCAAAGCCATACGCGTTCATCGACGGCTTGTCGTAGACGGACGCAATACCGACGCTCGCGCAGCCCTTGATCTGGCCGACCTCAAAGTAGCTGACGTCAAGACTTAGCGCTTTCGCGACCGAGAGCACAGGCAGTGCGTTGTACGAGCGGATCGAGTCGACCGCGCCGCGCTGGAAGCTCCGGAGCATCGAGTTGTTGAGGACGTGCACCGTGAGGTCCGGCTGGAGCGCGGTGCGGCCGCGCGTCGACAATTTGGGGTCGATGCTGGCGCGAAGGGCGTTCATCGCGACGAGGTTCTTGTACGAGAGGAGCATAAACTTGCGCGAGAGGCGGTTGTTGTGGCGCCATCTGCGACAGTAGGCGCTGAGCCAGAGGTACGGCGACTGCGCGACTTCGTGCATTTCCTTGCACACGAGGCTGCACTGCGTGAGCGACTCGAGGTCGAGAAAGTCAAAGCTGAGCTGCCACACGTTCTGCGCCATGGACTCGGACGACATCGTGTCGAACGAGCTGCTCGTGCGGCGGCGCAGCGGTACGTGGATCGAGAGCGGCAAGAGCGGGTCGACGGGCGAGAGGTCGGCCCACGTCACGGCGCGCTGGCACGCCTGGGACTTGTACGAGACATACATTGTGCTCGCGTCGGCGGTCGATGGGTCCTTGAGCACAAGGAAGGTGCGCAGACTGGAGGAGCTCGCGTTGGAAGATCTCGCACTGAGGCTCGAGCCCGCGCCCCAGTGCGGAGCCATCGGTGTGAGCATGCTAGGCATCGGAGCAGTGGTTGCGCGGCGGAAGATTGAAAAATAAGCTACGCCCGTTGGGCGTGTGCGCTTGAAGTTGGCTGTATCGAATGATACTTCTTTGCTCGGAAACTACAGTGGCCATATCCGGATACGAACGGCAAAGTGGGGTTTAGCCCAGTGTCCCAACTTTGGCGGCGGGACTGGCGGCGGGACGTGATGATACTAGGTCACGAAATGCACAACGCAGGACGACGAGGCGGGGTTTTTTCTGAATGAGAGCTGACACGATGCTGGAGCAGCTATCGCTCCGTGTCGACGTGGTGTCTTGATTGGACTCGATGCGAGCGGTGGCAAGCGACGCGTGAGGGGGCAGAGATGGACCGAGTCGTTTTGTAACCTCTCCAACTAAATAACTAAATGTGGTAAGTAGAGTTCGGACTCGAGTACGTTTGCGTCAATAGAATCGTTTCTTGTTGCTTCTGGTGCGACGCGCACGTGGAGTGTTGCCGACCTCGCAGACAGGATCTTGCGTCATGCCAGTATGACCGGCCGACTGATTTGGGTAAAACCCAATGTCCCACGACATCCGGATACGGGTCGCGGTGACGCATCTGGTCCGGCGTGGAGTGTTTCGGACGTCGAAGCTCCTGACCAAAGGTTGAAAGCAGACACGGGCGGACGCCTACGGCCGCCATTTGTTCGACAAAATCCGATGACCAAGTGGTTTAACTCTGTGATCCGTCGATTCCCCGAACGTTGCTCCGCAGCTTCGGACAGCGTTTCCGTCGCAAGTTGAAGTTCATGAAAGATCCTCGTCGGCACCACGCGTGTGATTGGACAGAGGTGTGATCCTTTCGCCAATCAATGACGCGCCTTTTAATGCAGTGCCCAATCACGTGCGTGGCAGCGTAAAAAGGCTGGTCCCAAGTCGACAGGAACCGCCTCGGTGCAGACGCGTGGCGGCCTACCATGCTCTCAAGAGGCGCCGAGAAATGGCTTGCTACTGCAAGTTGCTACTGCAAGTACCTACGAGGCCCATCCAAGCTTGCGCAATGGATGGCGTCAAGGCCGTTTGTATTCAGTCCATCAAGTTTACGACTAAGATAGTACGCTTTAGTACGGTCAGGGCACCCATCAACTTCGTGTGTTCGCAATGACGGGCGACGTCAACGACACGCGTGGCGCTGCCTGTCGACCGCCCATACGTTCGCCTAGGGCCTGTCTGTCTCTGCGGGCAAAGATGGACTAGCGTAGTGGATCCGTGGACCTCAATGAAGTGATAGCGTGTAGCGTGTGGGATCCAGACGGTGGCGCGAACGTTCTCGCCTGCAAGTGCGATTTCCCGCCATGGGCTCCCGCCGACCTCGCTCCGTGGTGGTTGAAGTCGGTCCATCGCGTGCATGCCATTGGCTAAAAAGAAAGCCTGCACAGAAGAACCAATCAAGACATCGTAACACGTTCCGAGCGCGTTAGAACCGGTGTGTAACACATTGCCTTCGCATTGAAGCGATCGGATTGGCGCGGAACAGGCATGGCTGTGTTATAACATCTAACGTGCGATCTTTTCAAGCCCGCGACTTCATTTGGCGACCGTCATGCAAGCAACACACGTCGCCGCCCAGCACCTTGCGCGCAAATGGTACACTGCTGCAATACGACTACGATCTGAGTGGTGCTAGGGACGCGGTCATCGTGGGTGGTGGCCACAACGGGCTCGTGGCAGCCACATACCTCGCCAAGGTCTTGGCCTCGTACTGCCAGCTCTCGGGCTCATGCGCCATCGTTAGGCCGGCAAGTCGGTGTGCGTCCTCGAGAAGCGCCACTTGCTGGGTGGCGCGGCCGTCACGGAAGAGATCATTCCGAACTTTCACTTTTCCCGCGCGTCGTACGTCTTTAGTCTCTTCCGGCCGCAGATCATCTGCGACCTCGACTTGTATCGGCATGGCCTTGAAAGTGGGACAGATATCCTGATCACTGCTAGCTAAACACGTCTATGGCTAGTCTACCCGCGCGATCCGTCGTCGTTCACGCCGCTGCTCAACGGGCAGAGCCTCCTTCTCGGCAGCGACATGAAGGCCAACCAAGCCAGCATCGGTAGGCACTCCACCGCATACCGTGGCGGTAGCGCTTGGCTGTAGCACAATTCTCCAAAGCCGACGCAGCCATCTACCCAGCCTACAACGCGATGTTGGACGTACGTACATTCTGCGATCGACCGCCGTCGTGACCATGGCGTGCTTCTAGCGCCTTGTCGATTTTTTCGTGCCGCTCGTGGATGAGGTACGTACATTGTGTCCTGTCTGTAGGTAGCACGCATGACAATATGATTGCATTAGCTTCCACCGGACCTCAAGGTGGCCTTGGGCCCGGATTCGACGTTGACGTATTCGAAATGACCGTGTCGACGGGGTCGAGATCCGTATGCGATAGGGCCCGCATGGATGCACTCCGATCGCTGGGCCACTTGGGCATGCGCTGCGCCAAGCTCGGATCGGAGCTTCCGACCTTTCTTGAGTTTATGACGGCACCGGCCGACAAGATTTTGAACAAGTGGTTTGAAAGCGACGTCCTCAAGGCCACGTTGGCGACCGACGCCATCATTGGCGCCAAGGTACGAATCTATCCTTCTGCGATGGTGGACGAATGCAACTACTAGCTGTCGCCGTCGACGCCAGGGTCGGCCTACGTGCTCTTCCACCACATTATGGGCGAAGTCAACGGCGTCAAAGGCACGTGGGGGCATGTGAAAGGCGGCATGGGCGGCGTCACGTCGGTGCGTCATCGAAAAAATGACTTTTTGTGTAAACAATGTGCAGGCGCTGACAAAAGCGGCACTCGAAGCCGGCGTGCACCTCGTCACCGACGCCAGTGTCCAATCGATTGACGTGGCGAACGGTCGCGTCGCCGGCGTCACGCTCACCTCGGGCGACCACGTGGCAGCGACGACCGTGCTCTCCAACGCGAGTCCGTCCTTGACGTTTCTCGAGCTCGTCGACCGCCAGTACCTCCCCAACGACTTGGTCAATCATTTTGAAAAGGCGTGGAACACCGAGTCGGCATCGACCAAGGTACGCGTCGACGACAATGCCAGTGCCAATCAGATCTTGTAGATCAACGTGGCGCTGAGTGCGCTACCCAACTTTAGCTGTGCGCCGAACGTCGGGTCGGACGCGATGCCGCACCACCGTGGCACGACGCACTTTGAGGACTCCATGGCCCAGGTGCGTACTCGTAAGCAGACTGTTTATGCGGAGGATGCTGGGATTAGATCCACGATGCGTATCTGGATGTCCAGCAAGGCTACTGCTCGAGGCGGCCGGTGATCGAGATGAACATCCCAACGGCCCTCGACGCCTCGATCGCGCCCAAAGGTACGTACATGATGGAGTTGCGGTCGTATTCCATGCGTCTTCTGGATGCGCAGGCCAGCACATTGCGCTGCTCTTTGTGCAGTACACTCCGTATGCGCCCAAGGTACGTTCGACTTGGAACCCCGTGGTCTCATTCTTCGTGCGACGACGTAGGACGGACCGTGGACCGATGCGAAGAAGGCGCAGTACGCCGACCAAGTGTTCTCGGTCATTGAGCAGTATGCGCCCGGCTTCAAGCAGTCGGTCCTTGGCTACGACATGCTGACGGTTCGTGGATTGTATTTTCGATCGGAGGACACTCCTGGGATCGTCGTAGCCGCCGGATCTCGAGCGGATCTTCTCGCTGCCGCGCGGCAACATCTTTCATGGCGCCATGGGCCTCGACCAGCTCTTTTGGCTGCGTCCGCTCAGCGGCTACGCCGACTACCGGACCCCTGTCGACGGGCTCTACCTCTGCTCGGCCGGAACGCACCCTGGCGGCGGCGTCATGGGCGCCTGCGGGCGCAACGCGGCCAACGTCTGTCTCCGCGACATGCCATGAGCGACTGCTTCGCGTCCTTGGTCGACCTCGACCTCGTAGGAATCCTGTCCCGAATCTGATATCCGAGTTCTGTATTTTTATTGCATTTCGAAAAATATTTTGCCGGCGCGTGTCGCAGGTGGCAGGCGCCAATGACGTGGCGCGCTGTGCGGCTGTGGTGCCTGCGAAATGTGGTCGTGCCTTCAAGTGCCCCTGTGCCCCTTGCCATCTTCTTTCCTCAGACGAGCGTAGGAGTAGTAGTACATTGGCAGTCATTCAAGCAGATACGGCCATCCCCACGCAGGCTGCATCTGCCTCGTCATCCATGACTCTGGCGCGCATCATGGCGCAAGAATATGCACCCGATGACGATCCTCCCTTCCACCCACCGACACACCCTCAACCGTAGCAACTGTGGTGCGGGTAGTCTGTCTTCTTCAACCAAATCGCGTCCGAGAAGACCAGCCCAACCATCATCATGTTTCTGCCTCGAGCCTACACTCTGGTGCTGCGTCGACAGTCTGAAGCTGGTTGTGTCGTCGCCGTCGTCGGCCATGCAGTTGGGGCAGCCGTGGCCGCAGTAGCTCGCATCTGCTTCTGTTTCTTCGTAGCTACTCCGTCGTATTGCAGAACGCTCGCCATGGATTCGAAGCCTCTCGTTCGACCGGTGGGACTAAACCCCAAATCTGAAAAACGCAGTTGCGTGCATTCATCCACATCATGCATCCTCATACAAACTTCATGTTTATTGCAACCAAAGTGATAGGCGCACGCCATGTGATTGCATCAACAGCCGATCGATTGCCGGGTTTTTTAAATTGCATACAAACATCCAGCCAAGAATAAAAAATAGAATGCGTCCCCGGCGCCGTGACAGCATCCCATCACGCGACGCGTTAAAAAAAGTGACACGGGCCAAGCCGCATGGCATTCCGCAGATAGACAAGCCGCCGACGCACCACCATGGAGGCTGGCGCCCGCGTCTGGGTCAAGGACGACGACGAGATATGGGTCCCGGGCATCGTATACGAGTGCCATGACCTGCACCGCGTCCGCGTCCGGCGCGAAGGCGGTCGCGGCGACGTTGACATCGACCTGCGTACGTACTGGCCGCCATCCATCCCATGCGCCGCCTCATGCAGCGATACTCGTAGGCCATGGCGCCGAGGCCGAGCCAAGCTTGCAGCTGCGCAACGACCTCGACGACTTTACGAGCGTGCCCAACTTGATCCAGCTGCAGTATCTGCACGAACCGGAGCTGCTCTTTGCAGTCGCGAACCGGTTTGAGCACGACCTCATCTACACGTACATTGGCGACATCCTGCTCGCGTTCAACCCGTTCCGGCCCATCAACATGTACTCGACGTCGCACGTCCGCGCGTACGAGGCCATGGACAGCGACGCGCCGCCGCACGTGTTTGCGATCGCGTCCATGGCGTACCGCTGCATGCGCGACGAGAAGAAGAACCAGTCGATCCTCGTCTCGGGCGAGTCGGGCGCTGGCAAGACAGAGAACACCAAGTTTCTCATGCAGTACCTCGCGACGGTCGGCGCATCCTCGACGTCCAGTCCGGCCAAGACGCCGGCCAAGCGACCGAGTCGGCTCAAGACGACGACCGCACCCGTGACAGTGACGACGACCACGGACATTCAGACGCAGATTCTGCAGACCAACCCGATCCTCGAAGCGTTTGGGAACGCCAAGACGGTCCGCAACGACAACAGCAGTCGGTTCGGCAAGTTTATCGCGCTGCAGTTTGGCGCCGATGCCAAGATGGTCGGCGCCAAGATCTCGGTGTACCTCCTCGAGAAGATCCGGCTCAGCCACCAGTCGCTCGGCGAGCGCAACTTTCACATCTTTTACGAGCTCTGCGCTGGCGCCGACGACGATCTCGCCGACGCGCTGGAGCTGGGTGGCATGGAAGACTATGCGATTCTGAGCCAGAGCGAGTGCTACGAGCGGCGGTCGGTCGACGACGCGGCGCAGTTCAACCTGACGACGCAAGCCTTTCGGGACATGGGCGTCCCGGACGACGAGACGACGACGATTCTGAGCGTCGTGG